ATATATATATATATTCGTAAGGCGTATTTGATGCTTTGTAGCTTCCGATTAAATTTTAGTGCCATAACGGCTAAAACTTCATCCTGGAAGTTATTTTTTAATGATGCGATCTGAAAAGTTACATGAAGTGAAAAATCTACGAGTGGTACTTCAAATTCTATTTGGGGCATATTTTGCATCTGCTGTTATACCTCATCGACATCGTGGTGAGTATTCACTTCTTTTAATAGATAATAAAATTTGAGTGCATTTTATATGCTTTTGCAATTTTTTAGCAGTACTTCTCTTTTTATTCGTTGTCGTATTTAATAGAATTCCAATTATATTTATTGCAAAATTAACAATCACACTGAAATACCTACTTATAATGTAAAAAAGAGTGAAAATGACGTTTAATTCGATTTAATTGAAGTTGAAGATTAAGTTTTAATTTTATTGCAAGTGTTTGTGGGGCATTCAATGAGAATGTGGTTAAGAGCAAAGTAAAAAATACTCAAAAAAAAAAAGAAAAAAAAAGATTCCTACTATTTCATTCAGTCTGGCTTACATGCATGCATATCTCAGCAATCTCTGTAAACAAAATTTGGGTAAAGTAAGCTATGAAAGATTGAAGGTAACTGGGAGAGTTCATGCAATTGATTGTATCATTCAAAAAATTATAGTTTGAAAATAGATACTAATAATACCTTCGACTGATTTCAATTTTACGATTTGTTCCTTTTTTCCTACATCAATTCACATCCCGCAAGAATCTGCCAGCAATTAATTCTCAGTTTAGTTTCTCACAAAATTGAGTTTTATCTTTAAAATTTTTGCTAAAAACAACCATCTTAGACTAAAACACAGTATGGTTCCATAATGTTTATTTGAAATGAAAAGACGTAGCTAAAACATACCAGAACAGATTGATCTGTTAAAAATAAGTATTTGGTTAGATGAGTTTTCCAGAAGAATTTGATAAACACTACGATGCTATCTGAAATTGGCACTGATACAAGCTTATTTTTCTCTCTTTCTACTGTAAAAATTTTTGCCTTGCATTGCTTTTAAGTGTCTTAATTCTAAATAAGCAGTTTATAAATTTGAAGTTCTGGAATCTCAAGTATTGATTGATTGAAATGAAGTAAAAATACATCCAGAAAACGATTAATTAATAATGAAAATTATCACTTAGCTACTATTATCCAATAATATTCTTTGTAAATTGTTTGGTAAGGAGCAAAGTGTAAAAATTAGTTGTAAATTTAAATGATTCAATTTCGTTTCAGCATTGATTTCGCAGAAAATCAGTAATAAACAAGTATTAATTTTAGAAATTGAAGAAAAATTTTTTTGTTTCAGTTCCTATAATCGATCTTGGCGGTGCTGATGAATTAGTTGGAAGTGTGCGTGAAGATCGCACTATTGTCAATGTCGTACCTAAATTGAGCATCGTTCACGAAACAGGTTTGTACAATGAATAAAACGTAAAATAAGTTTAGCTAAAAAGAAATCTTACGTTTTTAACGTGAGAAAATTCATCCTTTCACAATATTAATCTTCATTGTAACAAAGATTTTTTTGACTTCATCACTATCATTTCACTTAACAAAATTGCTAATACAATTCGCATATACAATATTACTTTATTTCAATGTACTACTTATTTATGCTAAAGATTATCAAGCAATAAAAGTAATTAGTGGAAAATTTGCTAAAATTTTTTCACAAAACAATTAGTACCACACAAATAATTTTTAATTCCTCACATTTTATTTTAAAGGACAGAGTGTTGTGCACTTTTTTGAAACAAAGTAATTGATTTGAACTGATTAAGAATTCAAAATTGTTCTGAAGAAGAAAGAAAGTAAAGCATACTTTGAATACATTAGTAATTAGCAACATAAATTAACAAAGTGATCATGAATGAGGGAGTGAATTGAGTTGATAATGCTTTGAAAATTGAAAAAAAATTAAAAAAATTGTTAGAAGGAAAATTGAAGGTCCACTTTGTCGATATGAACTTACAAATGAAGGGTCAGAGGATGTACCATTTATGGTTGAATTGAATGATGAAAAAGATGGTTCGGGTACTGTTCGAATCAAAGATGGCGTACATTTGGATTGTAGCAATCCTCAATATCTTCTCAATTTGGTAGCTGTTCGTTGTGATGATGAGGCTAGATCGGAAAGGTAAACTTATTGTATACACTGCATTTAAAATTAAAAAAAATTCTCTGTTGTCTGCAAATTTTTATTCGAAAATTTTCATTGAAAATTATTTGGTATATTTGTATTCGATTACAAGTAAAAAGCAATGAATACTATTGCACTAACTTTGAAGCATGTTTTTAAAAAAAATGATAAAATTGCTTTTATTAATATCTGTTTTTAAATTTGAAAAAAATGTCTTACCTCATTAGCAGTAATAATTTGAGAAATGAGTGTAATAAAAAATAAAAAGACGAGTAAAGAAACAAATAAATTGTGCGTCTTCTATTACATGCTACATAAATGAGAATCAGTGGGAAAAATTTTTTCTTTTGGATGCAAAATCGAATTTCTGTGCAAAAAAAACTGAGGCAAAGAGAAAATTCAAACATATTTTGTGTTGTGGAGCAATAATCCCAATGCAATTTTGGATAAAATTGATATTTTTCAATTTTACAGTGAATTTTTGAGGATATGAAATCAGCCATAGCAATTTCTGTCTTATAACAAATAAAAATTTGTGGACTTTGTGAACTAGAAAATTTTTTAGTTCTGGATGAATTAGAAAACTTTTTTGAGTTTGCGTGTACAAATTCATTAAGATTTGTTGCAGTATATTGCAAGTATTATGTATATTATCGACGCAGAATGTGCGATTAGAAAATAAAATTTTTGAAATTCTGAAATAATGATAAAAACACTATCATGGTTCGTGCATATTTTCAAGCACCCTTTTTTAATACCATTTTTTTTCACATTTGTTTCAGCGTACGTATGCGAATCTCTGTCAAAGACACAAATGATCACATACCAGAATTTTCCCGTCCCTGGTATACTTTCAACGTAAATGAAGGTAACACTGGCATTGAAAATAATATTTTGATATAAACAAGTATCAGACAAGTATTGAAGGTTAAAGGCATGAAAAAATATACCATTTTTCAAAGTTGTAACTACTGTTATTTATATAATTGTCATGAAAAAATTAACAGCTGTCATTTAGATAATTGGTAATTTGCATATGAGCAAAAGAAGAAAATTACAGGAAAAATTTACAACGAATTAGCTCGACTGCAAGCAACTGATAAAGATTGTGGACATCCATATGGTCAAATATGCAGATATCAAATTACAAATGCTTTTGATGATTTTCCGTTTGCTATCGATGATCAGGCATGATTTGAATTGTTTTATCTTCTCGTACATTCATCTGGCCGGTGTTTTAATTCTTCTGAAAAAATATTCTCATCATCTCAGCTACTTTAAAAGATTTCAACAATTTATTAAACGTTGCATTTTAGTAACAAAAATAACAAAATTACTGTTTTCAGAATACATACAAACTTCGTGTAATTTTTTAATAACTGAGGGAATACAAAGTAAATTTCTCATTTATTATTTTACTAGTAGTTTTTACTTATAATTTTCTAAGGGTGTACTACGAAATACACGTCCACTGAACTATACTGAAGCAAAATCGTACATTCTAACAATAGTAGCTCATGATTGCGGAATGCGGCAGTCAAAATCAACTCTCGTTACTATTAATGTACGAGAAGCTTGCGTTGATGGTATTCGAGGAATTCAAGAAAAGGTAATATACATGCCTGAATCAGGAAGTGTTCGGATCGCACCAAATGCACATGTCTTCACCTGTTCTGAAGCGCAAGCCTGTATTTTGGAAAGTGTGAAAAGTGTGCTAACCTTGCAAACTGATCATCTAACTTATGGATGTGACCGAGATGACTTTGTTCCCCATATGGTGCAAAAAAAGTAAGTTTTTTATTTCAGCAAGAAGATGAAATAAATAAGTTCGATTAGCTGTAAAGCCTGATAAATGTTATCTTTTTATGAGTAAAATTTGGCACCAGTTAATGGCTCAAAAATTACCTTCTTGTTCTGCCATTAGATAAATTTGTTTATTAGAAAAAAGTATGAATTTTGCAGATGTGGAATGGATGAGGCAACAATAGCTTTACTAAGCAATATGGACGATAACAAATCCGTAGATAACAATGTGTTAGTAGATAAATTCGTATTTGACGGGCATTCTCGTTCAGTAATTATACCTGAAGAAAAGGTTGATTCGGTTATTCCATTGAAGTTTACTCTTACTTTTTCGATGAAACATGCTCGTGGTAACAAGAAAGATGAATCAACGAAGCAAACAGTTTTATGCGAAAGCGACTATACTAGTGAATTAATAATACCTTGTTATTTGATATGATTAAATTCTTGATAAAATTGAAATAGCAAATGTAATATTACCAAACGCATTCTGTTGTATTGTTATATTGTGGTTGCATTAATATGAACAAGGAATTAGTATAGATTAAATGTGATAATGTAGCAAAAAAAGTTCGAAATGATAATTGCGAAAATTATGTTCTTACGTTTTTATTATAAAAATTTGATATTTGTCAAGAATAAAATTATTTTTTGTCAAGTTTAAGAATATAACTATATTAATGAAAATTGTTTTAGATATGAATCGGCATCACTTCGCAGTTTATACTCGACACTGTAAGCTAGAATTGTTAATGCGTCGTGAAAGTAATGATGAGGCATCTTTTCGTGCTGCAGAATGGCGATGGAATATACCAGAAGTTTGCGATAATCGCTGGCACTCTTACTCTATTTTATTTGCATCAGTTGATATGGTCAGTTAATTTATTTGCTAATATTTTTATTATTTACTTCTTTATCGTAGCCAAGTGCATTATTATTGAGCTGTTTCTTTCTTCAATATCCATTTCTTTTAATATGAAGTAATTACTTTTAGGTGGATTTATACATTGATGGTCGTAAATTTATCACTACAAAAGAAAATCCAGAAATTCTTGATGATTGGCCATTACATCGTACGAAAGATACGGTTGGAAGTTTTGTACTATCTGATTTTTTAGTTCGATTTTATTTATCATTTTTTCTTTGGTTTATTGAATGTAAGTGATCAAGCTAACAAAAAAAAAAGCAAAAAACGATAACTTAATAAAATTGCAGTCATTAATGAATTTGGATTTGAAGAAATATTTATTATATTATTTGCTGACTTGCTTTAATTATCAGTAGCAGTATTTTTTCAGTGATTACAAATTTATTATCAAATAATGCAGTAAAGTTTTCTTTGTTGTTTGCGAAAGTTAATGCTGATATAAATTGCAGAAAATTCGTATAGTTGTGGGAGCGTGTTGGCATGGACGTGACCATTCAATGTCACAGCATTTTAAAGGAAGTTTAGCTTCGGTCTATTATTTACCTAATAAACTAGAACAACCGCATATTCTTCAGTGTGCTCATCAGTGTAAGGAAAAACTTGAATTCAGTGCTATTGATCAATTAGTACCGGGAGAGGTTTGCTAGTTTTTTATGTAAATTTTTTTATCTAATATATTTATAAGCATAAGCTTGAATTAGTTTTTGAATTTAAAAAAGTTAAGACAGCACAAGTTAAGTTACAAGATAGAAATTCAGTCGCAAAGTTTACTTTTTTTTAGAATGCAATATTCTCCGCAGATTCATCATCATTTACTCTGCAAGCAAATACTGCTGAAGATTTATCATTATTACTTCAACGTGTCACATACGTGAATAGTAAAAATCCACCAACTCCTGGACACCGATCTTTTTACATCAATACAACCGTTTCTTGCACGGATGGCAAAATGGTTACTATTTATCTTTATGTCTTTATGTTATTAAACAAAAAAAAAGCATATTTACCTTGTATGAAATAGTCCAAAATTATTTTTAATCTTTTTTGAAAAACGCAAACACATTGCATTGCATAGCAATAGCTAGTATTAACGTATGCTCTGCTTACGTTAATACTAGTTATTGTATTGTTTTTGGTTTTTGGATTATGTTACTTTGTTCTGTTATCAATTAACTCTTTATAGCTTACTCTAAATCCTAGTAAGGGATATATATTGGTGCAAAAAGAAGCTGAACCAGTGATTTCCATTAGTGGCTTATCCGTTGTGAACAGTGATCATCACTTAGTAAAAACTGGTGCTCCCATGCTTCCTGAAATCAAAATTACAGTAACCCAAAGTGTAAATGGTGGTATGTCTTTAATTTTATTTTGATCTCTGCTGCGGTCATCATAGGAGTTATGCTAATGAATGCTTAAAATGATTAACGCAGTAATTCCATTAGCGTCAACTCAACAACAAAGAAAGTCCCTTAGTCTAACTCATTCCCATCATTCCATCAATATTCGCTTATTTTTATTTTTATTAGTTTTTTATTCTAAATATTTTTTACTCACTACTACAGTTCAGGACATATTGCAATGCATTGTAATTCGAGTGACTTAATTTCAAAACTGATGGAAGCAATTTTATTGCTGTGTTTTTGTTTTATATTTGTTATAGAAGAAAAAAGTTTGAATTGATTTCTGTGCTGAATGATAAATTTAATTAAAGCATTATTTAAATATGCATGCAATGATAGATTCTGGCATCCCAAGCACTTGACATTGTTATACGTGTGATGGAAATAGCAACAAGTCATTTGCATTTTATATCTTATTTTTCAAGTTATACTGTAAATACTGCGGAAAGCAAAAGAGTACTCTGGTAGTTAGATAAAAGCCAAATTTATTTTCTTACAAATTGTAAACATTTTATTGAATCAGAATGGGATTTGGATGGGAGAATTACGAAGAGAGTAAAGCATTGCTTGACCTGATCAAATACAAAGAGCAAGTTGCTTAGCTTGGAAAAAAATTAAATTATTTAAAAATAAGTGAGATTTAATGCTGAAAAAAATATTAAGCTTTTTTAAAATTGTGAATGAATGAAATAATGAGTATATAAGTAGTAGATCATGATCAGGTTACTTTCTTTCGAAGCAGTTAGAAAAGAAATCAGAGTTATTTTTTATTCTAAAAAATTGGCACAAAAAAATAAGCAAAATTTGATGGAATAAAAATTAATTATGAACTAAATATTTTTTCGTTCAGAACAAATAGAACGAACAGATGTATCAGAACTTGATTGGTGTAAGGTACATCTGAAACCATCGCGTGATATGGACCTCGAGTATTTCTCCTCTCCAGCATCACTTATTGCTGCTCTTCGAATTGATTTTGAGCACGATAAACAGGTCAAACTTTCTTCTCTTATGAACAAAATTTTTGATACATCTCATTAATTATCTTACTTTAATTTTTGTTTCTTTTTTTTAATGCTTACAAAGATAGGTAAAACTTGGTCAACTATTAAGTTTAAAATTTTTCAAACAAAAGTAGCAAATTATTCATTGAAGTAATTATTGATTAAGTAATATATAACTCAATAAGCTCAAAAAGTGAAAAGTAAAAGAACTGTCGATTGTAAGAGTTAAATACATGCAAAGTAACTGTTATGATATTACTTGAATAAAAATACCTGTAACTGAAAAGTTTGTTAAAATGCAAATAATGTCAAAATTTTTGCAGGGAATTTTATTAAAGGGGAAAGAAAAAGTCAAAGGTTACCGAGAGATTTTATCCAAAATTCATTACTTCAATACTCGGGCTGATTCATATACTAGGAGAATCTACACCGTGCAGTGTTCAATGAATGATGGTCGTATTCTCAGCAATGAATTCCTCGTTACGGTATATACATCTTTAATAAATTAATTTTTTCACTGATTTCATTTGCTTATATATCTTTAAAAAGCCAGCAAATAATTGCTGATCTTACAAACTGTTCTTTTTAATCTTAGTAATTAAAAAGAATGACCAATCAATCAAGCAATCAATCAATCAAGCAATCAACAAACCAACCATCCAAACATTCAAATATGTTTGAAGTGAGAACAAAAAGATAGATTTTTGCTGCTGAAACAAAAAGTTTCTCCCAAGTTGAGGCAGCTTTTCCGGCCTGCAAAAGAAATAGCAATTTCCAGCGCCAAAAAAATATCTATCGCTTGACCAAGACCTTTTACAACAACTTCCTCACCATTAGCATGCTCTTTCTCATGCGCACTCACTGCAAATCGAAAACCATTCAAGTGATACTAAATTGAATTGAATTAAATAGAAAGTGGCCAAAAAATAATCTGCAAACTACTTACTATCCACAGCCCCACAACTTTAAGTGTCTATTTAGCCATAACAAGTGGTGACCTTCTTTTCATCGCTTAACTTTTACACATATTGTTTCAATTTTCTGAGAAGCACAAAATGCCATTTATTTTTCCTGGATTCTTATTAGCGAAACATTTTATTAAGGTAATGGTTCATTTTTTTTGCTCATATTTTACAGCACATTTTTTTTAATTCTAATAATAGTTAAATGAAATAACTATTATAATGATAATAATAAGTAATAATTAAGATGAATATCGATATCCCACAAACAACACAAGCACCGGTAACTCAGATTCTTGATGAAGAGGTGCAAATGGAGCATGCCTTCGATAGAATTGGTGGTAATCGACTGCAGAATTTACTGGAAATGGATTTTCCGCGACCAAAAGCTTTGATCTCTCGCGGATATGATAGTGGGCGTGGTACTGTAGCAGGTATTGTAGACAGCAGATATTCTTAAATTATCCCTCCATTCAAGTACATAAATTTGTACGCATTAGCAGTTTCCTTAGGAAACTACACATTCATTTAGCTTGTTTGTTATTTCTCGTCGTCAATATAATACTATTATACTTATTTGATTTTGGAAAGAAAGTTGTAGGAGGAGTAGTCACTTTAATGGTAGTGGTATGTGTTGGCTTTCTCCTAATACTGCTAGTAATCGGAATATTGAAAATGCGTGATACCCCTCTTCCGTCGAGACGGCGCCGTAATCGGCGAAATCCGGTAAGTGCGCTTTTAAAGTAAAGAATATTCTTATTTGCACCATATATGATTGTGATAAGGGTGTTGTTCAAAGGAAGGAGCAATGGAATGGGATGACAGCGGTATGAATATTACTGTAAATCCACTTGAAGAAGTAGACAAACATGGTGTTGATTTTTCTGATGATGACGAAGAACAAGAAGAAGAAAGCTCTGATGGTGGCGAAAGGTTAGTTCATTTTTTTCATTTTTGTTATTTTGCAATACTTTTGAGCTTATTTTATTTTGTTTACAATCAATTTTGCACATTGTTGTCTTTGATAGAGTACTGTATGTACAACATGAGAATTTCGTAAGATATGATGACATTCAGAAGAATATGAAACGTTCACAACAGATTTATCCATAGTTGCTGTAATTTTTTCAATTTAAAATGAGTTATTCAAGTTACGAACAGAGTGGCGACTTACTAAATTCGTTACAGTTTTCATGATGAAGGTATGACGGAAGATGAAGAAGATGCTGAAAATGTACTTCCGCATGTAGACAGCGGTTAGTTGCGTATTTCTTAAGCAGTTAATTTAGTGTGAAATGCTTGAACAAAATGTAAAAATAGTTTTGTACGTAAAATAGGCTAGTTATCTTACCATCAAAATTAGCTGATAATTTCAGAAAAACAAAATAGAAGTCTGGAATGGGATGACACGACTCTGACGAATGTTTCACGCACTTACCGTGTTTAAAGGGGAAATAGCTAACAACTATGTGATGCTTACAAATCTTTCTAGTTACTTCTATACAACACATACTTTCAATCTCCTCTTCTAACTTTTCGAATGAAAAAATTGGCCAAGAACTTAACTTTTTTCATTTTACTAGTGTTTTGAATTTCTTATTCATTAGTTGCCTGACTCATTGAAGTCACTCGCTATTTTCTTTTTACTGTTAATTTCAATTTCTGTGAAAACAATTCTACTCACCATTAATCTTGCAATCTACGAGTAAAAGTATCGTATCTTCTTACGCATTCCTCTGAAATATTTATTAATCAAATAACCCTATCCATCCGATTCTCCTTCAGTACTTCAATGTTCAAGTGCAACTCTGGATAAATAAATACTTCTATTCGAACCCATCTGGTAACATAAATTAATAATTCACTCCATAATCTCCACCACAAATTCTGCAGGATAATCCATCTCACTCATTCGCAACTAGTTCTTCTTAACAGATATAACGGAATCTTCCAGAAATCTATCCCGACAAGCAACAAACTAACTGTCCGCAATTTACGTGCCCTTATTTATAAGTTAGGGAGAACTTTCACATCCTTGTTTACTGTTAGTTCATCCAATGAAGAAAGTATATCTAAACTCTCTACATTTAAATGCAATAGGCTAAAACTCCATGTGAAAGTTAAACTTGGGATACGAAAGTTCTTTTTAATGCATGAAATTTAGCTGTAAATCACAGACTTCAGCAAATCTTTTCAGTGCCCAGACCAAATGTCCATGAAAATTTCACAACATACACATGTATCGACAAAATAACAACTAGTAACAAAACCCTCTTCGTTAACATATCATTCAAAGATGATATGATCATAATAGCGTGTAGTGTGAATACGTTTTGTGTTTCTTTTCTTTGTATTACTTTTATATTTATTCCTATGTGTATGTTTTGTCGTATGTTTGTGATTCCAATTATTAATGTAAGCTCTTCCACAATTAATAATACTTTTTTGTTTTTGTCTGAGGCATTACAGAAATCAAATTAAATATAATATAATAAATTACCGACAATAATAACTATTTAAAGAAAGAAGGAATGGCTGATCCTGAAATTAGGAAAGATGTTTCGTGTAGAGATTAGTCCCGAAAGTTTTCATGCATTCCCCACTATGAGACCGGCATGGGATTAGAAAGCAGAATTATAAAGTGAAAGGAAGTCAACAGAGAAATGAAGTTCCTAGCTTCTTACTAGACGTTCAAAAAATGCGCGAGAGAAAACGCAATGTAAAGTCACGGAGCTCTAGATAAAACTTTGCAGAGTACGATCAACATATAAACGAATTCATTAGGCACCTTCACCCTTTAGATAGCACTATACTTCCTTCTTTCTGCGCAAAGTTTATCTGCAAGAAATGAATTAAAGAATCGGAATTAGAAGTCCGCAAAAAATTTTCAGAGAAATACTTACCTTGTCACCAAGTGACAGCGCCATTCCCTGGCTTTTGGCACGAATTCTAATGTGTCCTATTATTGGACTGTTTACATCAAGTGAACTAGTTTTCTCGATTGATACATTAGCCAGTGCATCTTCACCGAAAATGCTGTGCGCACAGAAATTTGCAGCCAGAAAACCACAGTCACCTTCTAAAACTGTTTTCCTTAGAAATAAAATTACAGTTTTTGAAACTAAAAAATTCTTTTTAAAAAAAATATACAAGACGCCAGATATTTATCAAGCAAAGTGAAGCGCAAATGTAAGCAATGTTTAAAAAAAATCATATGAATTTAAATGAAAAAATACCTAGCGCTGCATCCGTTGTTAACAATTTCATATTCGTCACCGCAGACAGATGTGTTAAATACTCACGCAAATCAGTTATTGGTGTATTGACATTCACATGAAAAAAGAATTATAAACGATGAATTGTATACATGGTAAAATATGGAAGATTACTCAATTAAATACTAAGGGTGCTTCAGGTTTTTAATGCAAATGTTTTTCGCTAAAATGAATTGCAAAATAGATATGCACGAACTTTATTCTCCCATTCAAATTCAGCCCACATATGTCGGAATTCAGTGTCTGTACAGTTTCCTGGCACGATATAATCCATGATATCAATGTGTATATCTTCTAGATAAACACAGTTCCGATCTGATGTTGATCCACGAATGTCATAAGCTACGGTTGAAAAAATCACACCATTTTCTGTAGAAGCAACCTTTACAGTAGCCTAGAATACAAAAAAATATAAAAAAAATACATGTGAAATGTTATTAATAGTAAACCTTGATGTAATACCAGAAGAAAATTTGGTGATATTTGAAAATAGAGTATGAAATGCAAACTGCAGTTGCATCTAACCAATATATGAAAATCTCAGTTATGTAAATTGCAATCTCACATTATCACAGAGCAAAGTATGAAATGTTTAATTACCTTGATGTTTGAAAAATCACGAGGTGCAAGCGTAAGAGGAGATGGTTTGTCAACTAATTTGATATCACCTACAGTTGAAAGCTCAAGGCAAACGTTCTGGAGGGTATCATCTGTTTGATTGACGATAAGTACATCAAGAACGATATCATACTGATTCACGTTAACGTAAGCTTCAGCATAAACAGGATCGGAAAAACCAGCTAGTTGTTTCACCTGTGAATTTGGAATGATTAAAGTAGAAAAGAAAATGTATAATTCTAGATATAAGCATTTTAAGAAAAAATTTGCAAAAACTTAAGATGAAACAGATAATGGAAAAAAAACCTATACGTACTTACCTTACCCAATTTAGAAGAAGCAAAGTCAAATTTGGGGGTCTTTGCAACAGTTCCCAATGCTTGTGATAATGAAAGATCGAATAAGTTTTCAGTTCCAGTCACTCCATCTCCAATACGAGGAGCAAGCTGAGTAAATGCAATAGTATGATCAACTTCCACTTGAACAGTTCTATAATTCTCAGTTTTCAAAGTCGAGCCACATTAAAATCAATTTTTATCTACATCAAGAAACTTATATAATACATGAAACATTTACCTATTTAATGATTCAGTCTCGAAGCGTTCATTTTCTGCTTTGGATTCAAGCATCAGCACCAGGCTATCACGACACTTTTGCAGAAAAATAGTCTCAGCATGAGGACAATTTTCACACAAAATCTTGATCGACATGCCCAAACTAAAGAAAGAACAATCAATAAATGAAAAAATGATTACACATTACTGATATTCAATTCAAAAAACAATTACATTTGTGGTTACAGTAAAAACTTACTGATCAATGTCGTCTTCTGTCGCGTTTGCTGTCGCCAAGCCACTTTTACCAAGATTGATAATTGATGCCATGATGAATAGTGCTTCTCCAGCAAATGCATTCAATTTATCTATTTTATCTATAAGAAATATAAAAATATTCTATAATAAAAAAATTAGATCTATATGGAACAACAGTACAAGGTGAACACTTCTTCGTTTTCTAAGAGAACATCAAAATAATTATACATGCACTCATAAATAGCACACCTTTTGCATATTTACCATAGCTGAAAACAAGTTTGACCAATGTTGTCGCTAGGGATGAAGCTAAGAAAAAGTTGCCATCAAGAAGGAAACGACGTAAAATCGCTTTCGTTTCAATCATTTCAGTTCTTACGGTTAACAATGCTGATTGAGTGGCGTAGGTACCATCAGCAGTTACAAGCTGTCGGCTCTACAACATACAAAATGGTCACACATAATTCAGTTCCAAAAAAATCTTACTAGTTGACACTTCGCGACTTGAAGCTAGACTTCTAAGAAAAAAAGATATTTCAGATACCGTCGTTATTTCTGATTCTGTACTTTCATCCTTTCTATCAGCAACATTATCTCCACTGATTGCTTGAGTTTCTTTTTCCACGATTGGCAATTCACCAATAGATTTCCGAATAAACTGCATCACTCGCATCACAGACTCACTTGATTCACAGTACTCACCCAAAATCCATAACCCTGAGCGAAAAACTTGCGCACTACGCACATTTCCAAATACATCCTAAAATAAAAAAGTCACGGATTTTCAAAGAACGAATACTACTTCTGGAAACAAGTAAACTTACCAACAACTGACTCAGAACAACTGGGCGTAAATGTGGTAACTGTTGAACAGTTTCCCGAATGAATACGAGGACATCTAGAGCAGCATTTTCGCTATCTTCAGAAAGAAAATCCATCAAGACAGGTAATATATTTGCCGCAACATCAGGAAATTTGACTGTAGTCGAATGCAGTGTCCGTACAAGCATCTGTCGATAACGTTCTGCTTCTTCAGCACTTGTATCCGAAGACCGATTAACTTCCTGAACAAATGATCGTGATGAATATTGATAATAACCATAGTCATAGAACAAGAGTCAAGAAAGTACATGAAACATAGTTATGAAGAGTAATAAGTTAAACAAGGATAATGTACAGTGATGAAGTTACTTCTTTTTATAAAGAAATAACCGCACCGAACATAAAACTGAAATAGCAGTAATGAGCATAATTTATGCATCTGTAGAATTACACAAATCAATATCTGATTTACTATTGCTTACTTCCCTATAATCATAAAATCTTAGTTCAACAATGATTTATGTTTTTTTTAAAACAAATAATCTGGTGTAATGTTTAATAAAATCCATCAAAATGTGAATATTTTCAAAAATTCAATAAGCATCAGTATGCAGACAACTTCACAAAAATTTTTTAAATGGTCATTCAAATGAAACTATTGATTATAATATAAAATTCTGGAAAAATGAAAGGTTTTTGTTCAACAACTTGATTTTAAGGAACCAAATAGTATTTTTAATAATAAATGCTTCAAATTTCGTAAGTTGTTGAACACTGAGGAAAATATTAAAAAAACTGAAAAATAAACTGAATATTATCACAATTACAGAAAGCTAACGCTATGATTGGTTGTAATTAAAAAATGTAGGCAATGAAAGAAACCTTTTTCAAATACATCACCATTTCCTCGACATTACGAGAAGAAACAAGGTCCAATGCAAGCTGCAAAGTTTTCTTACGTACTTCAAGGTCTGAAGCCGACAACACACGTAAAATATCCATTACTAGTTCACGCAAAACCTTTTCACTTATCGGAGAAGAACGTAATTCGATGAGTCGATCCAGAACAATTAACTAAAACTACCAATTTTTCTCGTAGCACACCAATATTTGTTTCACTATTGAATGTCAAAATCCAATTCAATATTTCAATTTCAAAGACAAATGAAATTTTGGTAATACATATTTTTAAATTACTTTGACAAAGGTTTTCCTACAGTATAACAAGATTATGACAAATATTTTCATACTGTGGGATACTAGAATATAAAATATATTTGCATTATAATTTATATACCAACCTTGACATTATTGTCGGATTCTTTGACAATAAGGTCAATATATGCCGATGCAGCTGCTTTAATTGCAGTAGGTGCAGAACTCAGAGTTATAAGAGTACCTGCTGCTTCGTATCTTACAGCAGGAGATGAAGACTGCAAAAGATTATAAACACAACGGATGAAACGCGCCCGCTCAGATGGATTTGCATGACACACCTATAAAAACTGATATACAATAAATTGAAAATTCAAGTCATAACATAAATAAGTAAAGGAACGACATCTAAGAAAAAATAACCTTATAAATAAGTTCCACGATAATCAACTGAAGAATATCACCAAATGTAGTGACCTGATCGATAACTTCTGACAAATAATCTAATGCTCTGCTCTGATCAACATGAAGAAGCATCATAAAGGCATTTCGTTTGCAAGAAGCATCTTGTTCATTATTCAATACCGTTGAAATCAATTCCGGCGCGTCAGGGATGAGAAATTCGAAATTACCGAAAAACAAAATCTTATCAAGAATTAAATCTCGAGCTCTTTTTTACAATGAATGTTGATACCCAAATATAAAGAACATACGATAAATAGTGAAAATAGCCAGAACAGCATTGCGTCGAACATAAGCATGTCGATGCTCCAAACACGAACGAATCGCAGGCATGAGAGGTTCTAATAATTCTGGTTCTCGAAGTTTACACAAAAATCTATAACGAATTATCATTATTTTAGATACTTTTGCTAATGGCATTAAGTGAAAAAGTATCAGTTTGAAAAAACATAAATGATAAAAAACATGAGCACAAAAGAGTTCTAAAAGATAGTTGCAAACAAAGAGAAAAATTCAGCTGGGAATTTAAAAACAAGCAGACAAGAAACTGCAAGAAACCAGTTATATAATTAAAATAAAACCGCATACTGAAAGATCTTGACAACTCTTATATCATAAAATCATAAAAATGAAAGTTTTACCTCAGAGTAGATCCACGGATAAATTCATTTGGATGCTGCAAATCTTTGCGATACGCATCACATACCAATATCATCTCATGCAACAACTTGCCATCCGACGAAGTCTGAACATTTTTTTCGTCAGGAATGAATAAAATTATCAAATGAGGTCGATACAACATCAATCTTCTTCACTTTGAGATTGTACAAAAACAAATACAAACCACAATAATTATGCAGACAAAAATGGAACATATAATATGTACATATAAATGTTCAGAAGGTTGGAGCGCAACAAGAAACTTATCAGTTTGAAATTCTCTATCAGTCCTGTATGGACTCACAGAATTTTCTTCTACTATGCCAATCATGAACAACAATTACATTTACCAAAAATGTGTAAAATGCAATTCAATTGCTTTAATGGTTTAGCTCTCCTCAAATTTATTTTACTATTAGTATTCACTTCTTGGTTATGGTATCAAAAATATAAAAGTCATTTACTTTAGGGACGATTTCAAAGAACAAAAGAAGCAGCTTCTTGATGGTATGATTTGATGTTGGCAAGCAGAAACGAATTACTTGCATCATCATACCTTGCCCTATTTTTTCTCCGTTCATGATCATGAGAATAAGTTTTTTTAACGCATCTGTTTTTGTATCCACATCACCTGTTAATTAGTAAATAAACACTGAGGAACTGCTAAAGTCAAAAAATTATTCCAGTACACAAGCTACTTATTTCTTCACATCCTTTATAGTTTTTTAACTAAATCACGGTCGTCACCATCAATAATGGAAAAAAATTCCGAGGAATACAGTAAAACACGTCTTGCTCAATACCTACAACTCCAATATTTCTGCAAAACAATTCGCCTGAAGTTAATAAATTACAACCTTTTTCGAACTTATCTTTCAACTGCACTTCACTGGGTACTTCGAAATCACTGGGAACATGGATTAACGTATAGCATGGCAACTCTCCTGTCGACATCTTGTCTACACGAATGCAGTATATCCTGTATAAATATTCAAAAAATAAACTCATCTAATTTAAATCTTCTCAATATAAACTAGAAACGAACGAACTTCCGATGAGACGTTGACGCGACAAGCAGTTTCCCGTCACGTTTATGGATATCAAGCACGAACGGAGTTTCACTTTTTCGTATGATCAAGACCCAAAGATTACAAACAGCACGGCCTATGTCTGAAGTAAAGTACTACTTCATTAAGCAATTTTTGTAATAACTACAATGAATACGGATTAAAGTGAAAACGCAAGAAGTTATTGGTTAATATGAATAGAATTTGTCTTTAATTAACAGAAAGTCTGAGCAGATAGCTAATTCCACGTTGCAAACACAAAGAGATGGTGGTCATAACGGTACCGCATTAAAATGATACATCAAGATCTTACAAGTTTTGGATTTACACGACCGAATTTGGAGTTACACTGGTTGCATTTCGTAAATAGACCAGACTGCGATAGGATTATATTGACTACACACCACTTCCGAAAGCATTTCATATTATCTAGATATTTTCATTTCATCTGATCGTGTGATTTTCCAGAATATTCTACAAAAATATTGAAGAGCCGATGTGTTAAAACTGACTGTCAGAAGTCTCGCTTTATTTCGTAAACAAATAGAGCGGGTGAAGATGGAATCCTTTTCTGTCAGTTTCTAACTTTCATTTTGAATATGTAGTCTTTACTTATAATGAATCGAAATTAAGCTACATAACTGTCATTGACAAATCTCTAATTTTACATCTATATTTTATGTGTATATATGTATAAGGTCTTTCTGTCTTTATCTTTTTTTACGGTATGAGTCTACTGCTTTAAGTATTTGAATACTTTAAAATTTAAAGGTAAAAAAACCTCGCTCATTTGTCATACCAATAGACATAATGGTCAAACCAGTCAGTCTCTTAGTACTTCAACCTACTGCTATTACAGATCAATTCATCATATGTGTTTTTTGGAACTTTACGACTTCAAGTAGTAAAACCCACTATTGTACACATTAATCATGTTGCTATCCATGTTCAGGATATGTATGATGAGCAAAATCTTTCTATACAAATAGCTTCCAAGCATATTTGTAAGACATTAGTGAGTTAATTCCAGTATCTAACAAGTGTATAATTATCCTGAATTTCATTAATGTACATTTCTTGTTTAAACCATGTGAACTTTCATATTTTTGTGTGAGATATTCACCAATTTGTAGCTAATTTTAGTTGGCAATAATATTTTTATGGTTAATTTTCAGTTCTGTCATAGTGGTAAAGTGAAAGCAATAGCTATTTTGGTTAGTCGATATTGTGCTGGCAGAATACGAGGCACTTTTAAGCCTCCAACAGAGGAGAAAGAAGCAGTTGAAGATTCAGTTCCTTATTTTGATCCTGAAAGTCCGCGCATTTGCGAAAGGTTGATAATTACTCGGTTCTGCTCCAACTTCAAATCAGAGATTTTCTAAAAAATTATTTTCATAAAAAATTTAAGTTGTAACATAGCGTTGAACTTTTTGAATTTAAATTTGTTGTTATGTATGGGTATATTTATTTTTTATGTGTAGTTTGTTAACAAATTTAGAATTATATAACACCTCATCTCACCTTTTTTTTCAAATCATGAGTTACACTAAAATATTAGGTCTTCTTTTCTGCGCCCATTTTATATTTGTAAATGTCATCTATAAGAAGTGGTTGAGACTTTAACTACTGAACATAAAATATCAGTTTTTTTTATTGAAATTAGTTTTTGAAGGTACATATTGGTTGATGCAGCAGTTTGTAATGATGAGGATACAATCATGGTAAAAGAAATTTTTGGTTCACTAGGGGAAAAAAGGTCATTACTCAAAGCTCAAAATGTTGCGCCAGGAGTGGCCACCAGTTCATCAAATGGAAACTTTTTGGGTGATTATTTATAATTTTGGTGTGTTGGCGCTATGAATCCTTTAACATTAGGCATATCCATCTGTATTGCTACTTCTCCATTATAGGAAAATTGTTTGTTCAAGCAGCACTTTTTAAAAAAAAAATACGAAGACTGTCATGAATTTATGAATTAGATCTCATTATTAGCGTAGCAACGGAATTTTATTAAGGAAACATGCCTGAAAATGATTTCTCGATTCTAATTCGAGATATTGGTTTATTTTCAAGCGATGATGAGGATTTACCATCACATACTTTTAATCATGATCGCAATATCTGCTCGAGAAATATTCATTCAACTTCGCAGTCACCGGAGTTTCTTTACAGAGCACCGCATCTAAATATCGGTGATAGGCAACCGTTATCAAATGTAAGTAAAATATACTTAGTGTGTATCGACTAGCAAAAAATAAATTATAAATATTTTATTCATATATGATCTTCTGCCATTCACTAGATTCATCATCAAGAAATCGTGGATCTACCAGATCGAGAATGTTGCTCTGTTCAGCGGGTGGTGGGTATTGCTGACCACCGTTTTCCGACAAATTTTGCGCAGCAGCATGCAAAAACTATGAGTGTTGTGCGTGTCGTACAGTTACCTTCAAATTCTCAAAGCTCAGTGGTTTCGTATTCTAATACGAATGTAAGGTTTTTAAAAAAACATGTGATGCATTCCTGAAGTAATTCTTCTAGTAAATTAAACATCGGGAAAACTAGAAGTATTGAAGTGCTATGTAGTTGAATTCATGTTAAGGGGGCTGCTAGTCATGATCGTGTCTTGGTACGGCCAACAACTTCGATGCAAAGTACATGTTTCACGAACCAATCAAAAATTGGTGACGTATCATTTTTGACTCAAGCGGATATGCAATCAAGAAATTCTAATCAGTCGTTCATTCTTATTAATCGAGTTCCAGTCGCTAATATGGCCTCTCCCTCACGTTGCAGAGTGTTATGTGCGGAGCAGACTGTTCAGGACTGTGAAAATGTTATTCATATTATTGATGATGACGACGATGATAGTCAGGTAATGTAATTGTTCTCATTGAAGCTACATGTGTATTCATTTATTGATTAAATCCTTATGTACTAATTTTTACAGGCGAAATTAGCAAAGAAGCCTAAAATGGATTTATTGTTAAATTATCCACGTGATCATCCAAATGCTATATCAATTCATTATGCTGATGTGAAATATCTGAAGCCGAATGAAATGCTAAATGATACCATTATAGAATTTTACCTAAAGTATATTCTAATGGAATTAGTACCACCAGAACGGTAAATTATCTTTAATCTATCGATCTGTGATAGATTAGGAAGAATTTACCAAAGACGTACCATATTGTCCACAGTGTAGTTCACGTTACATTTTCATTAACTTATTTGTGAGTGTTGCAGGCGCTCATCGATTTTCATATTCAGTCCTTTCTTCTATTCTCGACTAACTCAAATATCATCTGCGATTTCAACTGTTGCTCGTTCTGCGGCTGCTCGTGAAAAATGGGTGTGCTTTATTTTTATGAAAATACAACTTTTGTTAATTATACACAATATAATAGATATCTTCGTCTATTAATGTTGAAAATAAACTGAAAATAAGAATAAAATGTGCAAAATTCCATGAAGAGCATATCAAAGATATAAGAGATGTACTTGGTCATTGACGACTGTTAATTAACTTTATTTGAAAATTTATAATTAAAACTCGTGTTTCCGCATAAGTTCTAGTTCGAAAACCCGAACTACATATGTTAATTTCTATTTATTGTTAAAGATTGCTGGAAATTATAAAAGAGTTCGAACATGGACAAAGAATGTGGATATTTTTGGTGTTGATTACATTGTTGTTCCCATCATTGAGGATAGTCATTGGTAAGCTTTGTCGTTATCCAATAATTTTTAATAGGAACAGCTGGTTTTTATAGATTATAAAATTTATTCATATTCACTAAATAAGTCTTAATTTGCTATTTGCAAGTCTTGCTACCGTTTCATACTGGTTTATATTTTGTGTTGTAAACAGTATCCGTCATTTTGCACCTACTCCCCATTTTAGGTACTTAGCCATAATTACATTTCCTCGACATGCTATTGTTAATAGTCTCTCAGAAAAAGCAGCTTCTTGCTCAAAAGAGGATAACAAACAGGCAAAGCTACAGAGAGGATCTATTATTGTACTGGATTCATTGACTGGAAAATGCGATGGAAAGAGGCATGTACTTAACTTCTGTTGCATAAGCAAATTTTCGTCAGAATTATCTTAATTTTTTGTTAGTCAGTAAAATAAATACGAACTATGTAACAAGCACTATATGAAGGAATTGTCCTTAATTTTTAAAATGACTTGCAGGAGGCTAACAGTTCCTGTACTGAAAGAATATTTAGTTTGTGAATTTAACGATAAAAGAAAAGCAAAGCACGGTGAAACAACACGTTTTATGAAGGAAAAAATGGAAAAAGTGAGGATTTAGACTTTTATTTTATTTCATATGATTCTATCAGTTTGATGATGCATCATTTTGATCCTTCAACATTTGCAAGTTTCCAGGTATTGATCTGTTTTAGATTGTACCTGCACCTGTCCCACAACAGAAGAATTGTACAGATTGTGGTCTATTTTTGTTGAAATTTGCCGAATGTTTTCTGCTAAGACCACCAAAAGTACGTTTTGTTAAGTGAAAAGGGCAATTTAAAATAAATTGATGGGGGGCTTAAATTGGTACTGCTGTCAACAAATATATAAATGGATTGATAATGATGGATTTTGTTTTTCACTGTTGTTCCATTTTTAACTACTAGATTCTGGCATACACTAATGAACTTTCTGTTATTCCAGTCATAAAATATTGAATTAATGCAGTTGGTTGGAATATCTTCGAGTAACTGTTTTGTTTTTCAAAATTCAGTCATGTTTTTCTTATCACTATTTTAGTTCATAGCTCAAAAGGACTCTTTCCAACGATGGTATCCACACTTTACGATTAAAGGAATGAGGGAAAATATTCTCATGAAATTAAAATTGGCCTGCGGTGAAGAGGCGTGGCAGGCGTTCGAAGACTTTTCCGCAGCGCAGTATCCGAACACCTATTTACATGCTGCAGATCCTAGAGAGGAGTTTTCTAGCAGTCCCTCACGTAAAGTTTTTTTCTAATTCTTTTTTTGTATCCACCATTAAATTTTCATGTTAGTGAGAATGTTAAGAATTGTCTGCATGATACGTATTTATTGTCAAAATATTATCCATGGCAATTCATCAAACTCAAGCACATTTTGTACTGGTTTTTAAAAATTTATGTTTCAGCATCGTCAGGACATCATCATATACGATCATTAAGTGTAGGAGATCGTGAAACTGATATGCATGAGACTGTGGAGCGTAGAAGATCGACTCCCCCAGAGTTTTTATGTTGATTTTTATCTTTCTTTTGCACTCTTTCATCAAGCATATCGTATCAAAAAAAGCTGGTTGACTCGCTTCTTCCAAGAAACGAAGACTTTCTGTTAAAAACCATTTGCATTTAGTTGTATTTCATTTATTTTATTTCTGGTGCTCACAGTCATTTGAAAGATTGACATTCTGCAATTCCTTCTAGGAAATTTCTGTGGTAAGGGTAACAGTTGCATCAATATATAAGTAATGAATCGAAACTTAAAAGCTATCAGACGGCTCTGTCTCTCTATATTTTTTTTGTTCAAACCTTAATTAAGTTGGAATTCGCAGTAATAATGTTTTACTCAGTTATGAAGGGTGTATTCATATCTTTCAAATGACTTGTAACATTTTATGTCATGTATCATTTTGTGTAGTAAGTGCTCAGTTCATTCACAACTGCTTTGAATCATACTATGATTTCACATGTGTAGAGTGTCATTATGGAATAAGCGTGAAAAGTTCTGATATGTATTTGAGCATATTATTACACATTTTCTGTACTCAGTGAATAAAATTAATTTTGTTAGTTGATTCAATAAACCGCTAAAGAATGGATTTTTCAGTATTCAATCACTTATATGACATTTTGCATTGAAACTATAACTGAGAATATTTTATGTGTGAAATATCGTTTAGCTTCCCAAGCATTATTTTGCAAGAATAAGCGCGATTGTTTACAGCTAGTCATAACTACAGATATGCAGTTATTCTACTTAGTTCACGTAAACAGCAGTGTGATATTGTGTAGAGTTAGGTGCTTTAGTTACGGAAGCTCAAATTATATACCTTGGGGAACATTTTTACTTTCAGGGAATTTTTTTTCGGGGTTAGATTACTGTTTAATTATTCATAATGTCGATTATGAGCTATAATGGTGGCACCATCCTAGCGATGGCAGGGGATGGCTGTGTTTGTATTGCTTCTGACTTACGTTTCGGTGAGCAGATGACCACAATCGCTACGGATATGAAGAAGGTGTGTGAATTTCCGTTAATACATGTGTGTGTAGGTGTGGAAGAAGCCAGGAGTTGGTGCTTCATGCTTGATTCTGAACGTCAAAAAAAATGTCAAGTTATTACTCATTCCTACCCGAGAGTATGTACTTTCAGGTACATAAATTGGGTGAGAAGGTCTATATTGGTTTGGGTGGATTTCATTCCGATGCCAAGACAGTCCTTGATAAAATTATTTTTCGGAAGAATCTATATGAATTAAAGGAAAATCGAAAAATAAAACCGGAGGTAAAAGTAAAAGATTAATTTAACGATTAAAAGGACATTTGTATCAAGGATGATGTCTCTCCGTCATAACACCACTAAGAGTATAAAAATCTTAAGACAGCTCGATTTACATGCTTTTCCTTCTTGTACCAAAAAGATTCATTATAGGTAGCAGCTGTTATGGTATCGAATTTATTATATCAACACCGATTTGGTGGTTATTTCACGGAACCACTTATAGCAGGACTAGACCTAACAACCAATCGGCCTTACATCTGTGCTATGGACACTATAGGTTGCGTCTCTGCGCCGAACGATTTTGTTGCCGTGGGTACAGGAACTGAGTACTTGTTAGGCGTCTGCGAAGGTTATACTTTTTTTAGTGACAGGAATAACACATGAAATCAGAATTAGTATTGGAATAATTTCTGACCTGTCTCACATAATATACCTGAAATGTATTTTTCTTTGGAAGACAGTCAAGCTTATTGCAACTCCCTTACTGTTCAGGGTTTTGGAGAGAAGGTATGGGTCCTGATGAGTTATTCGAAGCAACTGCGCAGTCTATGTTATCTGCAATGGAGCGTGATGCGGCTTCTGGTTGGGGTGTGATTGTTTACACAATAACAAAAGACAAAGTAAATATAAAAACCATTAAGGCTAGGATGGATTAAAACTAATTTGTTACTTCAAAAACTAGTGAGGAATAAGAATTAGATGCAAGATGTTAAAGAATGCCATCGTCAGCATAAGTCCATGAATGATAAAATTAAGAAATTTGCATTTTCACAGACTTCTGGATTTTATACCTCATTTGTTGGAATGATGTAAGAAATTGCGCACATTTCACATGAACTAATTGCTATCAGTTGAGGCCCAAGATACGCAAGCTTTTATCTTCGTATTCTGTTTAAGTAAAGTTATATTCTTTAATAATATCTGGTTGTATTGTTACATCAAGTACTATGTACACAATAAAAGTGTTATATGGTTTATTATAACAAAGAAAAAGTTGAGCAGAGACTCTTCATGTTTATTAACGACTGCAGAAGAGAATGAAGGAGACTTCAGATAGTCATAGGTTGTTCTTTCGTAAAGTATGCGAAGCTTCGAGAGGAATCTTTCGTATCTCTGCAGATTCACAAGCAGTTACAGAGAGCAGTAAGTACATTTGTAAAATATGACATCATTCACATAATAAATTTTCGAGAGAATTATTTCATATAATCCAAGATAAAGTAGACGCAGAATAACAGTATTTTATGACTCATAAAGGGGCCACAACAGACTGCCTAATTTGAGTCACATTGTAATTTGGCCTGGATATGCATCAGGACGGTTTTTCCGCATCAGGAACTGAATTTTTTTTTGCATATCTTCTTTGATAATTGCCTTTGAAATTTGCCTTGATAATTCATTCCTTTGCATGAATGGTTTTCGATAATAACGTGTCTTGCGAAGAATATCCAACAAGCCTTCATTATTCATCAGTCTAAAGCACAATAACTACGGATGTGAGAACACAAGGGTTGAAAGTTTAGAATTATAAAAAATAGCCTTCTAATTTGATAAATCAAGAGTTAGAGGAAGCTCATTAGATCAACATAACCAGTAACAAAAACTTCACAATGATCAGCAGTTTTAGCTTTTGATGTTCGTATTATTTTTCTTGTAGAACAGTGATTAGAGAATATTCATTGCATAAAAATAGGACTTCCTTTACATACATTTAAAAATTCTGGCTCAGCTAAAAGGAGCAGTAAGAAACCTGTTGAGTAGATGAAATGCTGACGCGACGTCATTATTGATAACAAGAACAGTTTTATTGAGAAATCGTGGGTGTGCATGATGGATGTTCCAGAAAAGTTTCAAGCCAAATGGTTGCGTGAGTGTACCACGCCAACACCTTACCATGCTAAGATGAAATACAATAACTGTCTTACTTGTCAATCGTTTAAAGTCTAAATGCTTTAATAGAAAAGAATATTACATATATGCAACAACTTGATACCAATCTCTGTATTGCATTTTATTTGATGTGAGCTAGCATTTAATTCAAGAAACTAATACTAATTCCCCCGGAATGCATTGAACACTAATAATACTCAACCAACAACCATTCAAAAAGCATTCACTGTGCTCTTCGTGGCGTTTCATCACTTCGACAAATTGCATGCTTTTGTGCTGTAATACATGGATGACTGAGTTATTTTCGCAACATTATGAAATCTTGTGAGATAGTTAGTGTAAGCTAAATCGTGGTAATGCTAGGTTGATGGTGGTGGTGTACACAAATGTATACATATTTCTTGTGATGGGGATGCATCAGTCATGTGCTCTTATGTGTGTGTGGTCTTCATTTAGTGTAGATTACTCGACGTGTTTTGAAATATGCATACTATGCATTTATTAAGAATGTGCAGTTTCATGTAAAACTATGGTAAAAATATGTATACATTTGTGATAGAAGATAATTTCTATTAATAAGCTTGTTTAACATTGTAGTACAACTTAATCAGACAAGTATAAAGTTTAAGTGTATTACGTGTAAAGTATGTAACTCAATCACTGTTGAAGATAAGTTAATTTATGTTATTTCAGGATAGTCAAAAAGGGTGAGTGTATAGGTGAGAAGAAATGTTAGTCAAGGTTTGCATGCAAGTTATGAGATTTACCATTGCAATAAAGGCATACACTGATAGTTTAATAGTGAAATATAGTTTGTTTTAGTTTAAGTAAATCTAAGCTATAGTTTCATAACATTGATTGAGTGAGATGGGATAGATATTTAAAATATATGCATATTTTTTACCGCAACCTTTCGTGACCTTGTATACTTTTAAGAAGTAAAAATCAGCCCACTCGTAGGGGAAATCAGCCCAGTCTTACAGTTCGTGAGATTACATCACCAAATTTCAATAATCAATCGGTGTTTGATTATTGATTTGTTGCTATTGCTAGTTAATTTTTAATAACACAAAGTAATTATTTCACCGGCCTCCCTGTTGCTGTTGTTTTCATCTAAGTCAAGTCTGATTCCCAGATATTAAGTATCGTGGTTTGGTGCTAAAAGTTTGATACATAAGTCATACCGCGTATACTTTGTACAATCTGAGCTGAATAATTTACAGAGTGGAATAATTGCTTTTAATATTCTGGTACAAATTCTCTACCCGGACAAAAGTGAACAGCTCTCGTAATTCAATCTCCGCATCACTTCGTATTCCTTTAAAATCCGAATATTTTGCAGATATCGATTTCTCCTCTTTTGTCATTTTAGATAGTTTAAGAAGATTGTATTACGAAATAAATGAGATTGTTTTAATTTGCCTTTGTTTAGTGAAATGTTATTTTGCATTCTTTCATTTTTCAACTTTCCTCATAACTCATCTGTTTGTATGGGAGCCATTTATGCTGATAGAATGCTTTAACAAGAAAACAGAGCAGTACGTCTCTCGCTTCTGCTTCGTAGTTATGATTTGGTTAAACATAACAAACATCAAAGAAATTGCAGCAATGGAAGACACTGGTATGACTATGGAACGTCGTCGTATATTGGACATGCACTTGAATGTGTGGACTCGGAGTTTGGAATTGGATGTTGTTGTCATTTACCTTCATGCTCATGGTGTTTTCAATGATCAAATTATCGACGCCATCAAAGTAAGACAACAGATTGAGAAAAAGCAAAAATGAGTTTATTCATTTCATAGTGTGATTTATACTTTAGGCTGAATCAACGATAGCTATGAAGCGATACCAGTGTATACGGCAGCTGAAAATGCGTGGGAACAACGCCTTCTTTGTATTCTACAAAGCACTGTTAAAATCAAAACAAATGTAATGCTCTTTGTACTATTTTCCATGATGATTTAGCAGTAAATTATGATCACGATATCAGAAAATAATTCAGATATATGGCTGATCTCATCGCAAGTGGATTGAATAGCGAGGAAAGGAAAGAAATTAATGGTCCGACTGAATACAGGTAGTCTTTTTTTAAGCCATTAAGATTTGACATCGCGACTTTTCCATCCTTGCTTTCAAAATAATCGTAGATTTAAAACTGATATATACATTGGCTTTCAGGGCATTCGTGTTCAACCCTGAACCATTTGATGAAAAATGCAAATACAATGTTTGTCTCAGTCCATCCACCGAAGCGATTCAGTGGAATCGCTCGTACTATAGGGCGTATTCATCGGTAGAAGGTGGGTATTCCAATTTAAATGTAAACTGCAGTATACTGTTTTGAACAATTTTTATGGATAAATTTCAGTGCGTGAGCCGGCTGGAATTTTATATGACTTAGAAGTTGACGCTGTCGATGCTCCAGTGAATTTATCATCGTTTGATGCTGAGTTGGTGAGCTTATGAGACTCAAATACTAAAATAGTTTGTACTTATTATGTAAAGCATTGAGCTGAGATCTAATATTCCCAAAAATCTGTCAAAATGGACTATGTTCCAACTAAAATCATGTATTGAATGTGAATTTTTTTCCATAAATTCCCATGTTTTGTTTTCACTGTAATTATCATTTCTATTCTCATTTTGTGATCTTCATCTAAGATTAAAGGCTCGGGGAATGGAACTAATAATTCTTGTCTACCTTTATGGTTTTACTTTAGACATATCCAAATTTTACGTCACCACGTGGAATGGCTCTAATTATCAGCAACCGTTATTTTTATACTATGCCAGAAAGAATCGGCACTGATGTTGATGAAATTAATCTGAACAATCTTTTTCGGCAGCTTAATTATGCGGTTGTGGTTTACCGAAATTTACGATCAGTGGTATGATTTCTAAAAGTATCTCTGAAATTAATTTGCAATAAACAGATGTGAGATTGGTCTACGGATTACTGAACATAATAGTGTAATGGTTTATTTTAACATCTCATTTTTGTCTTGTAGGAAATGCGTGCCGCTATTGAAGATTTTGCGAAGGATAAAAGGCATCGGAATCTAGATTCATGTGTAGTTTGTGTTTTGACGCATGGAGAGCAGGGAAAAATATTTGGGACGGATGATAATCCCATAACAGTAGTGGAGTTTGTTTCTACTCTAAATTCCAGAAATTCTCCAGGTTTAGCTCGCAAACCCAAACTTTTCTTCTTACAAGCTTGCAGAGGACGTAAGTTTCAGATTTACAGTATTATTATACATAAACATCAGAGCTTATCTTTAGGTCGATATGGCTGAAGTTGATACTTGGAGACATTCAGTACATTTACATAAAGATGTGTCTTTTAGAGCAATACGATTGTGGATTCGAAAGTGAGTTAGATGAGACTGATGGATATTTTGATCGTTGGATTTCGTGCTCATCGTCTAAAACTAAGGGATCTCTAGCAAAAAAAGAAATTAGAAAGTATGGATAATTATTCAAAAAACAAAAAAACTCTTGGATTTCTGTGAAATGTACTGTAACGTTTGTGTATGAATTTCAGATCTCCGGCAGAGGCAGACATTTTAGTAGCATATGCAACTACTCCAGGATATGTATCTTGGCGTAATTCTTTGAAAGGCAGCTGGTTTATACAGAGCATTTGTCAAATATTTGCTCAGTATGCGAAATCCAATGATATTTTATCAATGTTGACATTGGTAAGGTAGTGCAATATATGACTGCTATACAATTTTTTAGTTATCTTTGTTATACATAATCATATTTTCAGGTGAATAAGCAAGTAGCAGATGCCTTTGAAAGTTCTCCAGGCTCTTTCAAACAAATGCCCGACCATTCCTCTAGACTTCGAAAATCCTTTTATTTTTTCCCGGGAGCATCTGTTTCGGCATAAATCACTTGTTTTTCAATTCGTCATAAAGCAATAACATCTCGGTTCATATTTCGTGGCGTTGATATCTAGTGGAATTATTTTTAGTAGAAAGTATTCAGTACAAAATATGGGAATTTCAGTATTTTGTCCACTCATTCAGCATACTAGTATTTTATCATTCAATACATTTTTCTCTGACAAAGCATTTGATTAAGAGAGTAATTTCCTGACATGTTAAATGTGTAGATTTGTATCTAAGTCAGATTAAATTGTGATGAATGAAATGATGTTTAATTTCATTTGAACTAGGGATTGGTTTCAATTTCTGAAATGCCGAGGATACAAATTTAGGGCTATTTTGTTTATAATTATGTAATATAAACCTCTGAGCTTGCTCTTTATTGTAAAAGTAATTGTTTCAAAGGATAACCTGTTATCGTTTTTGTTTTTTGTACTGGTTCTTAACTCACCTTGTTTCTTACTTATCATGTCGCTGCATTTTAGTGTTCATTGTTTTTGATTATGCAAGATTTGCAGACACACGGTGCCTGTTAACGAACTTTTCACTTCATATTGAAAATCTCACTTCATGATTCTCCCACTTCTATCGTTCTCATTCATCCATTCCACTTATATTTTGGTGCTTTCCAATTAATTTTGTTTTTAATGAAGGATTTCTTACTATTTGTATAGTTAAGCTACTATTTTTATTAATAAACACATCTAACACTAAACTGGTGGTTTGTTCATATTGCAATTAAAGAATGCATTTATATACGTCGTAGGTCGCGGATCTATCTTTTGGCATGGCTAAATTTAATTGGCTACTTTTTCAACCACCACGATTTTATTTTGCTTTGCCACTTTATTAAGTTTTGGTCAGAATTTAGACATGAGTGTGCCACTTCCTATGCATATGTACTAATATTTATATATTTATCTGGATTTAGAGTCTTACTATATTGAAGATCGCAATACTTGGCATATAATTGAAAGGTCACAGTACTTGGCATATAATCGTGAGTTAAAGGAAACACGCTTCCTAAGGATAATTAAAGTAACAGAATATTACTGGTAGCAGATAGATATATCTGATAAGAAAACCAAGTATTCCATTAAACTTGATGGCAGTTCGTATCTAGTTCGTCGCTCATTGCTTATTTTTCCAATTTCATTACTCAGAGAATGAGTGATAGTATCATTCCACTTGAATGATTTCTAGAGGTATTACGATGTCAGCAACACAGTCAGTGACCTGGCTTCCAAAAATACCAAAAGCTGTAAAAATCGGACATATACCGCAACGTCTGAAGTCACCGAAATTAGATTTCCACAGAGCGCGTTTGGAGGTATCTTCAGATATTTGATATTATTGTGGTCAAGTTTGTGGAGTGTGTTCGTTTTTCTCAGCAGATTTAAGGAATGATCGCAAAGCTGTATCTTTTACAGACAAATATTTTTGATCACCTGGGAAATCTGTTTCTTAGATTTCATCGAGTTTATTTTCAAACATGCTTACCTACTTGCAGATTCTTAGACGAATGGCTAGTACTTTATTTCGTGAAGAACGGGCAGAATTTCGATTTCATCGTGCCTTGGAGCTCCGACCTTATGTTGAAAGAGTTACTATTTTATTCAAGTTATGCTCTAGTCTTCATGCCGAGAAAAGCAAATTTAATCTCGTGTACAAATATCATAAAATTATTTTAAGCTTCTTCATTTTGGGATTTTCCGTGGGTCGCAGGATTCCTACACCAAAGAAATGGTAGATTGGTGGATTATGGATGGCGATATTCGGGAAAAGTTCTTTGAAGTTTATGTTCCTCGGTTCCAGAAATATGAAGGTGAACTTATATTCTGCCTTTTAGCTCCAAATTTGCAATACTTGAATCATATATGTGATGAAATTTTATTTATTCCCTCAGAGTCCTATCCTGAGGCAAACATAAATGTAAAAAACATAATTGTAGGTTGCTGAAAGGACTCTTTAGAAAATAAAACATAATAATCTGCAGGTCCATATACTTCATTATACTTTATCCAGGACGATCCCAATGAAGGATACTTCGATAGAGGTGTTATTGAATTAGACGGTTTGTATTACTAAATTCTTTATTATAACTCCTAAGTCTTATTTTCTAGTTTCGCTTGAAGCAGCTTACATCTCATATTGTAAGTAAAATCTTCAAGATCGTCTCAAATAATCGATATTGTGTGAACATCTGTTCCAGGTAATCCTTATCCTCCAGTGATCACGAAAGAAGTTGATTATTCCCACAATTTGCTGAACATCCTCTTAAGAAATGCAGTCTATCGACAAACATCAAGCTTGTTATCTCAGCAAAAAAATGAGGAACAAATAAGAGACCTAAATTGACCCAGAATATAAAATGTATACTTTTAATGATTATGATTGAAAAAAGATATTTCAAAAAAATAATCAACACTTCAACTGCAACTTGTATGATACCATTATGTTGCAGACGGGTGTATTTTCACGTAGTACTTCATTTTATTTCCATCAAATCATTTTTCACTGTTATTATTTAGTAAATATTCACAGATATGTCTGGTTGTGCTGCGAGTTATTTCTAATATCATTCAAAACGTGATATTAGTCCATGGAACAGAGATAAACACTTTCGTTTAATTTATTCATAAGATCATGGAATCTATGCGCATGTAGCAAGAATTCTACGGTTTTTGCATTAAAAATGCGCAAGCTAAGATATGTGTATGCAGTATTTTCCAATATTTTTTGGTACTTGAAACTATAGAAATATCAATTAGCAAAAAGGAATATTCAGTCGAGCTTTATTAGTTCTTTTATCCTGTCGCAACACATGAAAATTCTTCACAGCTCGAATTCCTTAAATTGTTGCAGGAAGTGCAAGAGTAGAATGACCTGGTCTGTCTTCTCGCCTTTCACCAGTTTGACAACATTTTGAATTTGAACATGCTGCACAGTTCTACTCTTCTTAATTTCAAATAATTTGGAACACAAGTATTACTATTCTAAGAATCAACATTGAGAATAAATTCTTGACTGGTCATGTTTCTTTGTAAATCGGATCCTTTCTGGATGCAATATTTAATCCAATATATTATTACAAATGTAACCGATTTTGCAAGCAATATTTTCCACTTTTATGCATAGAAATAAAAACAACAGTTGGAAGAATCGTTATGTGCGAAGACTAAAGGTTGCAACAAGCATTAATCATGAATACTTCTGTAAAATTATAAAAGTATGCCACAGCGACATGTTTTAACGTCTATCAATAAGTTTATGAGTCTTTGGCTGACAAAAATAATTTACAACTTGACCATTGTCTTCTGTAGTTCATGTGAGCATTGTTTCTGGTAGTTCTATACACGCTTATTTCTCATACAAATATGGACTCGAACTTTTCTGTAGAAGTTCAAATCTCCTAATTAAAATTCAAAAGTTGGGAAGATTTGTTCTTAGTAGGAGCTTATGCTCACTTATAATGTATGATACGCAAATTTTTATACTCGCACAGCCATAGAAGAAAAAAAAATGGCTGACAGAGAGATTATATTTGTTAAACTTTTAAGAATAAAGAAATATCAAAATATGTGTAATAAAGTAAGACGTAGTTTGTTTACTTATATTAAGAACAAACAGATGCATCAAAGATGTAGAATAAAAGCAAATCATGGAGAACTATCAGAAGTAAAAATGCAGGATCAGATGTATTAGAGTTCTAAAGAAGTAAGTAAACCTTTGTACCTACTTACCAACTCATTCAAATAGCAACTTGAAGCCTTTTTGAAGTAAATCATTTTGTATTCGTAACAAGTTACTCACAGCAATTACAATTATACATCTCACTTTTGCACTCGTAACCTCATCCATATCGTACTCGTACCCACATTCAAGCCCGACATCCATATAACCACTTCACCACTGATGCATTCATGGACTTGATTTATTGTGCTGATTCATTTTCCTTCTTTTTAAGAGCTGTTGACAGTGTGAGAGTGCTTTCCATCAGCTGTTAGCTCGCTCATCTCTTTATCACTTAGACTAAACTACTGCTTTAGCTAAATTCTATTTCATGTAATATCAATTTTTTTCAAAATCTTATTACCATAGCGCTGAACTGCTTGATTTATACCTATTTCTTCAATAATCGGCTCATCATTCTTTCTGATTACAAACAAAACTTACTTATCGAGCTATATTCTCACTAACTATTCATGGAAAACTTAGTTATGGCAAAGTGGACTGGGAATTGAGTAGAATTGATTCTAAATTTCAATTTATGACAGAGTCAGAGAGTAAAAGCTCTTTGGTAGTACTGAATGCTAGCATAGATACATTTGGAAAAGTAGGCACAGACAGAAACATGTTTGTCTTTCAGGTAACGTAGAAAAAGAGGACGTAAAATGTTACGTAGTATGGAAGATCTAAATTATATTCCAGCTGTGAAACGCTTCTTATTCACTGCAGTCATTTTCGTCTTTTTTATCTTACTTACTGATGTAAACGGACGTGGTGGTCGTCGTGCTGGCAAAAGTAAAGGAAAAAGTAATTTGCAATTTGCGCAAGTCGCAGAGTTTTCACTTGTACACACGCAACTCGCCGATAACAGAGTAAGAGTAAAAACTAACTTATATCTTAGATCTGTCTGTCACGTTGTACATCATTTTATGTCCATCAAATCATTTGTCATTATTATTATCAAGTAAATATTCCATAGCAAATATCGACAAGTGCTTGAAAAATTAATTCACGTTAAATAACATTCATGTTCATCCTGTCCGTTGAATCACATTTACTTATACACTCTTCCTTCAAATTGAGAACAATTTCAGCTCTAATTGCTTTTAAAATTTCTGCTTTACTTTACATATTACTATTATTGTATCAAGTAAATCAGTTTTTCTCCAAATTAGCTTCTATACAATAAACTTCAAGCATCTCGCTAACTTGTGAGATGTTTACAAAACGATAACCTTCAAAACTGCTTCTAATATTAATACTCTTCTACTAGTCAACTTCCAATCACCTGCCTGTTTGTTAACGATACTAGGTGTTTGTGAAAATGCGAGACATTAAGTACTTTCACGCTTTCTACAGCTATGAATGACAATGTACAGAGTAAGTGAGACACTTACGTCATAAAATCGAGAAACTGAGTGAAGCTTTTGATATTTGCTGTGAGTGGGTGTTCAAGATATCCAGTAATTATACTCTACTTTTGCATATATTCGATTTTATACTTCGCTTGTGTTACAGTTCGAAAAGCAAAATGAAAGCAAGTGAAATGCAGATAACTTTCCGCATTACTGATATATTCAGATGACGTTGTAATGTTCAGTAAAGTGCAGTGGAGATGTCTTTATCAGTACATGTTTGAGGACAAGAAGTAAATCACATCTTGCATGAGCAAAATAAACATCTCTGCTTAACTTCTGTGCTATAGACTACACGACATTAACGCTTATGTGAAGAAGAAAATGCGTTTAAATCTTCAGCTATTATTATTTGCATTGAATGCTAACTTACAGAGTGCTCACATCGTTACCGGATCACATTTCAGTCAAACTTTTCGCCTTGGTTATAAATTAGTATTAATTTGCAAGGCCAAAGGTACACCACGACCGACTATAAAATGGTATAAGGAAGGAGCTGAGATGCATCCAAAAATTAATACTCATGTAAGTATATATATATAACCTGCTTCATTCTTCAATAATATTAAAAATATAGTAATAATTTTTTAATCTAAATACAATGTGCATGATGTAGTGCTTTGAGAACAATGCCATAATCTGATGCATTTTCAATATTTCTTCGCATGAATACATTTTTTGAATCATTTCTAATAATAAAGCTTATTTTGTACCATTGTCTTACTTGTAAAATATCCATACTGAAGTGTTTTAGCATTGAATTATGAATTCTTTTCATCATGTTTTTAACATTAAGGCAAATTGCTAATTTTTATTTTTATTTCTTAAGCAAATATTTTAAGCTGAAAAAAGATAACTGAAAAGATATTTTTAGTATTACGAGAAGTTGATCAATGATGATATGCTGTGGAGCAAGTTGGAGATAGATCCAGCAACGATGGGTGATCAAGGGATTTATGCTTGTGTTGCAAACAACGAATACGGAGTTATGTCGAAGAATTTTAAGGCTGAATATACCTACTAAAATATCTTTGTATATTTATTGCACTTTGTTGATTGATAACAATTAGTAAGCAATAAGAAAAATAATTGATAGTGATCACTGTGTATCAAACGCTTTATGATGACAAACTTTGGCATATTTATGACTTCAGCTATAAAAAATAAAAATTAAAAAACGCATCATTTACTTTTTCATACTTTTATGTATCAAGAATTATCACTAAAAGTGATTAACTGCATGCAAATATTAATCATTATTAATCATTCTGTCACATGAATACTGTAGAATCGTTTCTTAAATGAATTACATGCCAGCACTATAAAGCATGAAAGTAATGAGATGAATTTAGCATCCAGTTCGAAGTGATAGTTAGCACTGATGGAACGCTCGTCTACTACTTTTGTACGTATATATTTTCGTGTAGCTTAAAGATTGCTACGATTTGACTGAATTGAAGTCCGTTTGCAGCATCTCTCGTTCTGTCTCTCCCTTTTTGTCGTCACATTTGCAGTATCAGTTGCATTACAACGTTGAAAAATGAGATTTTCTTTAAAGCTAAGAACTGTACAGAGTACTATTTTCTCTACAATTTCACTGTCTTTTACTATTTAGTGTAGATTGGAAATGTACTGTCAGATATAAGATAGCTGACAATATACGAACGCACTGTCTACTTCTTTTGGTGACTTTTGCTTAATTGCGATATCTTACGGCACAATATTACTGTGACGATGAGCTGCACTGCAAAGCACTTTCGTGTTTGTATTCAAGTTGCTAATAGCAATTCTTTATTGTATTCACATTTAATGTCTCATTCAATCAACAAGAAAATGGCTAACACATAAAATGCAAGAATTCCTTCCGTTATTACTATGTTACGGTGTTGTTATTTAATGCAGAATAATGTCAAGTTGCGATATGCTACTGATTTTTTCGCATGTTGTGTTCGAGCCTTATCATTTTTCCACAATATATTATTCATCAAGAGACAGTGTTTTTATTTCAAAGTGTGCCTTGTTCTCAGCCGTTCTTGTTCTGTGTAGTGTTATTGTATTTTGAGTATACATGGGCAACTAATCACAGACACATCATTTGACTAATTACGTTTCGTATTACACTACGTTGAAAGTTTTTGTAATGTATTGACAAATTGTTTTTTATTGCAGGCTGAGATGCAAACCATTAAATGTGTGGTAGTTGGAGATGGCGCTGTGGGTAAAACTTGTCTTCTCATATCATATACCACTAATAAGTTCCCCAGTGAATATGTACCGACTGTATTTGATAATTATGCTGTAAGCATTTTCTATCATTTCTTTGCTTATTAGTTATTGCTAGTTAAGTTTTCTTTTGATAGCTGTAGAATATCATTTTTTACTTAATTTTGCAATCATTCAGTCACCTGGATTGCTTTGTTCATTTGTTACCGTCCAACTGATGCTAACTTGTTAACTTTAGAATTGAAGACAATAGAAACTTCTAGATAATCATGTTCTGATATTTGTTCAAAAATGTTTATTGTAGGTAACAGTAATGATTGGAGGAGAACCGTACACACTTGGTTTATTCGACACAGCTGGCCAAGAGGATTATGATAGATTACGTCCTCTATCTTACCCACAAACAGATGTATTTTTAGTTTGCTTCTCTGTCGTTGCACCTTCATCATTCGAAAATGTGAAAGAAAAGGTTATCGAATACTTAATTTTTCAAAGACGTTTTTTAAATGTTTAACTCAGTATTTCTTGCATTATTAGTAAAGGCTTGATAGCTGGTAGTCATCATTTAAAAAGGATTTAACAATATAATTTCATCGTAAAACATAATCCATTAATGTTGCGAAATTTGATCACGTTTTTGGATAAAATGGATACATTCCTTTCTTTCGGTTTGATAAATTTACTCATTTTTGTGAAAACAACTGCAAATCTGATCTCGCAGAACACTTTCCTAATTAATTACAGTTTGTAGTCTAGATTACGAGCTAACATTACGTTTGTTACAGAAACAGACCGTGTCTCATTCTCTTCTTCTGTAATATCGTTTTTGCTGAGTTGAACGTTAAAATTGAACTAGTTTATTACTTGATGCATAGTTTTTCAGTGGGTGCCGGAAATAGCTCATCATTGTATGAAGACACCGTTTTTATTGGTTGGAACTCAGATTGATCTTCGAGACGACCCCTCATATATTGAGAAATTGGCTAAAATAAAACAACGACCGATAACATTCGAAGTTGGTGAAAAGTTAGCAAAAGAATTAAAGGCTGTAAAATACGTCGAGTGTTCTGCTCTTACCCAGGTTGTAATTTTCGTTGTGTTGGAAAAGGTGAAGTATTGACTTATAAAGACATTCTCCGAAATCCAGTTAATAAGCAATAAAATTGTATATAGATAACACTTCTTCGTATTCTTTTCTAGAACGACATATTTATTTCCACTTTTCAACAACTCTATTGAGTTGATGCAAAGGGAAATTCAGCAGTGTTTACAGATGCCTTTAGAATTGTAGGTCGATATTTTATTCTGTTACAGAAGGGTTTGAAGAATGTCTTTGACGAAGCAATTTTGGCGGCTTTGGAGCCACCCACACGAAAAAAGAAGAAGAAGAAATGTGCTATCCTTTAACCTCACTTTTATCTTCTAAATATTGACTGTTTATCGGTAGTATATTTTGTTGCTGTTACTTCCCATTTGTAATTCGTTAGTCATAATTTCTCACAATGATGAGATTGAAAAAATTGCAAGCACTGACACGATTGCACGCGCATTACGAATTTCTGATTTTTATTGTGTGCAATAGTGCACTTGTTCAGCATGAACGCGACCATAAAATTTTTTTACGCGTTACCACAAAAAAGTGGGAATCCCACTTTTTTGGATGCTTGTACTCTTAAATGTAGTATAGGCGTGAAGAGAAGGAATGAGCGAAATTATGGAGCTATTTGAAGCGAACTCAGTGTAAGCATTCGTTTAAACCGTTACTTATTCAGAACTATTATAAAGCCCTTTCTCATACTAAATAAAGTGCTCCCTTATACATGTAAAGAAACTGCATAGCCCTTTATTCCAAACTGGGAATTTTAGTCCTTTTTAGGAGGACCAATGCTGCAATTTGTGTGGTACAGAGCTTTTTAAGATTTCGTTTGCCGGAAGGGAATCGAATGGTTGGACCAGACTTATATGTAAACTCAGTTAATCATTTCGCTTCCGCGAACTAATGTTCAGATCCTTCAATCTAAGGAAACAAATCAAAGGTTTACAGTTACTTGCAGATAATTACATAGGGTACTATTGAATAACCAACTTTGTACATGAAAGGTGTTAGTGTCCATTCAGAGCAAACCGAAATAGTTGCAGAACTAACAAGGCATCATGCGGGTCCCAAAACTGATCAAAAAATTAGCATCCCTTTTGATTACAATATGTCAGACACCTACTTCTAAACTACTTGAGGTGTAATCACCCAAGACTCAGCATTAGTTTCATGCAGAGCTTTATCGAAAAAAAGAATTTTAAGCGTTCAACGAAGAAAGCACTACATCGGATGCGGTCAAAGCATAGTACATCCACAAACAATAGAAATGCAAGCTATAATGGACCAGATCAGTAAAATGAAAACAATAATTGCGAATGCAGAGAACAATAAAAGCTTGACTAGACCGAAAATTCACCAGCAGAAGACAGCCCAATGCTAACAACTACTCATTATTCTCAATGCTCAGCCTCATCTTATCCATAAAATAAAGTATTCATTTTTTTAAATGAATACTGGGATCTGAGGAAATTTAAAAAAATGAGTACTGGGATCTGAGGAAATTAGTTTGTAACTATGTCGTGAGCTCAATACAATTCCTAAACTACTGCGCCTTACTACGTAATCTAAACTGATCATTAACATCTAGCAGTTCTCATGCTCAGAAAGCTGAGATAAAAACTTAAAACAAAATGTGATAAATCAAAATTGCAAGCATTGACTTTTGTACGTTCGAAAAATACCCGCGAAACTTCAGGTTCAAAAAACTATGAACACTCGGACGATGACTTGGACTTTAGTGAAATCTTCAAAGCATCAAATTCTCCATCAAGGAAACAGAGCACGAACAGACTTCGGTGTGGTGCCGTCATTAAGATGCTTTGTCGTATAACGCAAGGCACTTAAAAGTGATTCTGCCTGAAACATAGCCTATCAAAAACTGACAGACAACACTTGAAAAAAGCGCTATAACCGCAAATGCACATATCAATTATCTGTTTGAACATGTCACTATGAGAAGACATTGTAGGCTGTTAGCCTTCAGTTCATTGTAACTGCCAATCCATGCTAGCACTCAGCTCACTATTCCTTCCGCTAAGAATGTCACTGCTAATATGGAAAGTAAAGTAGAAATGTCTGTGATAAACAAAGATTAATGATTAGATATCAATTGTTCTCTAAATTGAATTCCAGATTTACCTCTTGGTTTCTGGATTGTGTTTTGATTAGCTCTACGATCGATCGAATGTCGATGGGCGATTCTTTACAAAAAGCACCAGCATTATCAATATGATCATAAAGTATTATTGCTCCAACCATAACTCTCATTGTGAATGAACAATTTTGATCCGATAGTCGCTCCCAATTCTCTTCTTTTTCTACCATAAATCGGCAAACCTTAAAAATCTATTTTCTAACCCATTAATCTTGTAACACAGGTTTTCGGTTCTGTCTCTTCCACTCACCTGTACTACAGTTGCCAGTGTATCTGTAGTATTAGCAATCGGCAAATCGCCATTAGTCGCGACGAAATTAGTAGTTGCAGTGATGAAAGCAGAAAGCATTGGAGTTGGACAGGCCAGAAATAAGGATATGGTATTAGCCAGTTCTAAGGGTATGGCAAACTGTTCATCACACTGAAAACAAGTTTGGAATAGTCATTTACGTGCACAGAGAATGCATACCTACCGTCAGCGTCACTTCACAAGATTTCGAAATTTGAATACACGAAAACCTCTCGAGACATAGCTCGACGATAGAAACTAAAATCGTTCTGCAGTGCTGGAGTGCACATTTTAACTGCATCAAAGGAAAGTACAAAATTGATCAGTCGAGCAAACTGTCGACAGGTTGCTTGTAACGAATCCAACTGTTCAGCTGGTGGTAAAGGTCCTGAAAACACCTGATTGTTTCCGATAGGGTCATAAGGATAGGTATTAGCCGGGACCATAAGATCATAAACAAAGCGAATGGCAGTTACTAATCGAAGGAAGTAATCGATAGATTTCAATTTATCATCTTGTTTTGAAGCAAAGACTCACACAAGCAATTTTATTAGAAAGTACCAGAGACTTTTCAAAGAAGGAGAACTCATAGGAAGATTGCAGTGCTATCGTCTTTTTTGAATCAGTGACTTTATTTTTCACTGTTTTTTGGAATCTTTCGATAATTTTAGAGAGGCGAATCTCTCAAATTGCTCCATTTAAATTTATAATGGAACGTTAGAGCAAATACAAAAAACTTGTAAGTTACAAAAATTGTACCGGAACAAAGATCCCACAGAAGCAATGGTATAATCTGTTCGATACGTTGAGATAACTCATAATATGCCCTTATCCTCATTACCAACTTATCTAAGATATCTAGAGCTTGACGCTGTACACCCTTATTGTTGGGCTGTTGTATGGCAATACGAATTTCTGCTGATGCACCAGCGGAATAATGCTTTACATCTTCAAGCAAAACATTCGCTTGCTCCAAAATCTGCAATTATGATTTAGAATTTGCCTACATGTGATTGTCTTCATCACAAAAACCTGTAGTTTATCAGGTCTGTTGGAAACGGTGATTTCTACGAAAATATAATGCTTCATCTAAAGACCACAGATTTAAAAAAATCATAATACCTTTTCCGCAAGGTCACAAAGCTGCAGTTCCGATTCTGATGGCACAGCGTGTTCGAAATCAAGGAAAACGTTTACATCCGGCAGATTAGTTTTGGAACCATCACAACTAGCCAAAAGCATCGAACGAACAACTTCTGCGCATGAAGAGCCGCTTTTCATGTCATGCTAGAGAAGTAAACACTTTATAATTCACAAAATCAAACAAACTCTGATATGAAGTTAGTAAGTTATGTATTCTTCCTGCATGTAATGACAAAAGGATTACGTACATCAATCAATAGTGCTTATAAATAAACACATGAAAAAAGAATTAACTTTAAAACCCAATTACTTTAGAATTGGAATAGAGAGTGAAAATATGAATATGCTAACTACTTCTATCACAAAAAACAATGCAAAAGTGAGCCAGTACGGCACAACATGTTAAGCATCCTAATATATCAATAACTCGAAAAACAACCACGATGCTTCCCCCAACGACACACAACGTCACGTACAACTGAACTTATCTAAATTACAAGATATCAGGTATCGGCCAACCGCGAAATAATCTTACACTTTTAAGATTTTCCACATTTAGTGATGATGATAACTCGTAAGGTCCGTTAAGCAGATTTGTGCGGTTCATCGTTGTGTGTACAATGCAGTTGTTGAATTGCATTTTACAATTACTTGCAATTACGCATTGATTATTATTGGTATATGTTTGTAAAATATGTTTTTATTTTAAGTGTTTTGCAGTTATAAAATTGCGCTAAATCTCATTACAAACAGCAACTACGCGAAAACAGACCATTTTAAGATATCTATGAATGTAAGCATAAATGCACTTTTTTACAAATCTAAAATTTGTAGACTATCAGAAGTAATGGTAAAGGTTAGATAAGGTTTCTCATGTTTTAAAGTGTCCATGATTCCTGACTTTTAATTCTGTGGCTTGGTTGTAGTATTGAAGTATGAATAACAGTAGATGCAGAGTTGGGAACTATGCAGAAAACTCAAGATTTCGCAGCTGGTTGCATCTAATTCTTCTCATTACTTGACATAGGAAGAGAAGGTTTCAAATAACAAATTAAAATAAAAGACAGTAATTGGAATATCAGTTTTTGCTGAAGATCTGTCAGGTATCTAAGATGTTTTGTAGTAATTCCATTAATTATTAATTAGATTGGTAGGTTTTCGAAAAAAGTTTTTTAATTTTAAATATGCTGTCAAGTTTGTTCATTTTCAGTTTTTTTTTTTGACGAAAATCGCGGAAACAGTTAATGAAAAATGAAAATATGCAGAGAACTATCTTCAAGCATCACAAAAACTCGAAACCTGCTGACTTAATGTTAAGAAAATAAAGGCAACAAGGTAAGAGCGTCTTTTTAACTTGATGGAACTCCAAGTGTGTGGATTAATTTACTTCAGTTTCTAGGAAGGCTCCCAGAAATAAAAGATAGATGAGTCTTAGTGAAATTTTTAATCTTCCCAATCTGGAAAAGATGAACTGAGATGGAAAAAAATGTTGACAATCAGAAGAAAATGGGCTATCAAGGAAAGGTTTGTATCTGTATTTTCAAATATTACATTTTTGTGCATTGCATTTGTCGAAATCTGTGTTAAAATAGCAAGTCAAAATGTTTCTTTATTACTAATTTCATTTATTATGAGCGAAAAATGATTTATTCTTTAAATCAGGAGAGAAATCTGAAATGAAGTTTTAATTTGATGAGTTAATGGGTTTTCTTATTTGAAAATGTAGTTGGCTGAACATAAATGCTGAAACGAAGTGTTTAGTAACCAGATTGTTTTTGTTTTATCAGTGTTACCTAGAAAAACTGAATCCTCATTTTTAGATACTGCTAAATTTACTTTGTTTTTTCAGTGAGACAAAAATGTGGAAATATAAATTTAATTTGGTGCTTGAGATATTTACAGAATATCATTTGGCTACACCTGTGCTTTTTATGACTATTTTTAGTATCGTTGTTCAAATAACTGTTTAATAAAGGGTTTCGTTTTCATGCAACAAAACCTCTTTTCAAGATACTGTTCAATTTTTTTGCTTGTATTTTTCGTTTTTCATATTTCTTAACATTTGAAGGAGCTCTAATTTGAAACTTTACCTAATACATTCCACAGTAATGATCATGAATGCTTATCATTGAACTGGGATGGTAAAAAGTTTTTATGCTCATTCATTTCTACTTTCCACCTTATTTGGTTTCAGTTAAGAAGTTTTTTCCTGATGAGTCCTGCAGTCGGGTACATACAGCAGTGTAGAAAAGGTTGGTCTGGTATGCATTAAAAAAACTCATCGCTATTCCTTTCTTCGTGTTGTTTTGAATAATCCGTTCAGGAAGATTTTTGTATTGCATACTTCATTGGGTGCAGGAAATAGTGAATTATGTTGACTAATAGGATGGTTTTTTAAAAGTATGAGATATTGCATTTTTTGTGTGTAAGAGTCGCATTCATAGTTTTAAGAGTTTGCTTATAGTGAAATGTGATGAAGATCCTTTATCAGGTTAGGTTGCATTTTATTGCGATCTTTTTTTTTATCTTTTGAGATGCTCGTTTTCTTGTGATTTGCAGATTCAATTTGAAAAAGAGACTTTTTGATGCGAAAAATCATGATGATCAGAAACGCTTGTTTACGTTGAAGTTTAGTCAAAATGGATGCTTCCTGAAAGATTCCGAGAATTTCATCTGTTTTTGTGTCGGACAAGCATGTTTACTTTGTCACAAGAATTGTTTTGATCTTGCGCATATACTTCTGCTTGTTTTGTTTCCTCATTGCTTAGCACTTCTGTTCAATACATTTTTGTAAAGATTTTACGGACATAATTATTTTTTTAAATATTCAAAATATCTTTAGGTACCACATGTTTCCACGTAACGAAAATTAGTCCATTAATTCTTACATTTAGTGTATCTTACATTATGTATCGGGCATTCCTTTTTTCTTCATATTCTCATGTGTA